CCCCAAAACCCCAAAACCCCAAAACCCCTAGTCAGAGATATGAACTTGAATCGAACTTGACTTTAAGGAATCAAAGTATTATAATTCCATATAAGTTTGGATCTTCGAGTAAAATACGAGCACAAGTGCCCCACCCGTGCTACGAATAATGTTAGAAGCTCCTCCCTTGAAGAAACCTCTCGGACCTTCTTTCTGATATATCTTGTTGAAGCAGTCCATAGTTCCTGTGTAAGCCTTGTTGGCTTCCCCTGACTGCATCATAAGTCTTCTTCTGACAGTGTCGAGTGGGTATGAGAACAGATTAGCAAGTGTCGTGGTTACTTGTGCAAAGGCCCACATTTTGAAGAAGCTGTCTTGCTTACTAGATGAAAACAAGAAGGCATGACCTGTGTCATACAGACCAAAGTAAGCTCCTCTGTAGAAGACAATACCTAGCAATGAGATAGGGAGTCCTCTATATAACCCGACTGGGCCATCCGATTTTAAAATTTTGGTCAAGCAGTCAACAAACCCTATAAACTCTCTCGAAGCTTCTTTCCCAGAATCAGCTGCAAGCCTTGTCCTTGCAAAATCAAGAGGATAGACTACACAGAGAGATGTAGCTCCTGCTGCACTTCCAGAGAGCACATTGCCAGCAAAGAACTTGACCGGCTCTTCCTTCCTATTATAAGGGTTGAGGTACTGCTTGAACTTCTCCTTGCAAGCAAAGTTTAGTGCCTGTGTAGGGAAGTACCTCATCACATTGATCAGATTGCCTCTCCATAGGGACCAAAAGCCTTGCTTCTGAGTCACCTTCACAAAGCAGTCTATGATGCCGTCGTATTTCTTATGAGCAGGGAGATTCTTAGTATTGGCCTGCACCTGCAGGATTATCTTGACTCTTTCAATAGGAGCTACACATGTCTTTGAAATTGCTGCTGACACTCCTCCAACGATGAAGTCATTCAGCACTTTGTTGCCAGATTTTGAGTGTAGATTAGATTTAGTCATTTGTATCTTATATTAAAAATTTGTTGCTGTAATTTATAGTTTAGGCAGATTTTTATAAAATTAATAACAACGAATCATTTCAATACACAAATTCCTTAAAGGGGTTTTGGGGTTTTGGGGTTTTGGGGTTTTGGGG